ATTCCTGCTTACATGACTTTATGCAATGACATTAATGTGTTTCTTTGGTTTTGAAACAGGCTGATAAATGCATTCCAAAACTGAATGAAGGTGATCAGATAGTATTAATTAATGGCCGAGATATCTCAGAGCACACACATGACCAGGTGGTCATGTTCATAAAAGCCAGCAGAGAATCTCACACGAGAGAGCTTGCACTTCTGGTCAGGCGGAAAGGTAACTGGGCTAATTTTATTCACTTTTAATGGTTTTGAGACTTGCTCTTATGCTTGGTGGCATCACCTTTTCTATTTACATAAATGTGTTCTCAGTGCACTGGGAATAGGTATGTCCTAAAAAGTAGATCTTCCTGCATCTGATTTAATAGTGCAAGTAGTTTTAACTATAGATTCTAACCACTGCAACAAAGAATCTATCAAGTTAGGATTTCTTCCTTTTTTAAGTCTAGAATTCTATGACAGCAAACAGTGCCTTGCAAATTTTTTTGGGTGGTTGGTTGGTTTTGGGTTTTTTTAATAGTATAATTCCACAAAACTCCAGTTGTGGGTTTGTAAATATCCATGGGCTCTTCCCCAGCACAATTATATAAAGAAACAAGTCAAGTGTGTTTTATTTTTTCTCTCTCTCACTTTTTCTTTCTTTCTATTCTTAAAATAGACACTTTGTGCCAATACCCAGCTTCACCTGTGCCTGGCTACTTGATACACTGCTGCCAGCAAGCAGGAGGCAGTGTCTGAAATACACAGGGCCTTAAGCTTGTGTATTTAAAATATGGGGAACCCCTCCAGCTCGGATTTGCTTGCTACTACGTATTTAAACACATGCAGATCCCTGGAACTTTCAGATGATGTGAAATTTAGTTTATTATTTACTTTCCATAAGGCCATGGTAAGACAGAACTGCTGTGTAGATTAATTCATTAATGTTTGTTATGTTCTTCCAACATGTTAACAAGGAATGTCATGGAAAACTGACTAGTAATTATTTTTGTATTTGATTAAGTTAGTTCCTTCAATGTTAGCATAAGAAATTGCAAAAAGGTAATTCAGTTGATTCTCTAATGGCAAGGGAATAAAGTGTAAGTATGTTTGTGTCCCTTTTGCTGTTGGGGGTCCAAACTTTCATAAACTTCTTATACAGATATTCCATTAATTATGCTTTAAACTTTTTTAGGTAAAGCTTGTTTGGGTTTTTACCATGGTTGACGTTGTGATTCATTAGCCTTTTTGGCAGTTCATTCTGTAAGACAAGGTTGCAGCAAAAAACTGTGCTTGGAAGTCAAGTTCTTTGCCTTCATAGGCAGGCACCTTGAGGAGTTTCATCTTCTGAAATGTCATAAAGATATTTTACTCTTATTAGTTTCTACAGTAATGTAGTACATAAAGACATGCAGTTAAGCGTTGCTTTTTGCTTTCCTGAGGCCTTGTCTTTGCAAACTTATTCTTGAAAGATGGTAAATTTTAAGGTGTTGTAACACATTAATGATGTATGTAACAGATTTTAAATTTCAATACATCTTTCAGTAGTTAAACAGTTTGCGGAGCCTAAATCAGAAGATGAAGCTGATTCCCACAATCCTCCAGAATCTCTTCTTCCTATGTGTTCTGAATATGGTGGTGACACACTGGAGGAGTCTATGGAGCAGCTAAGGAGAGGGCTGGAAAGCGGGACTGTCCTTATTCAGTTTGAGGTGGGTAATACTCAGCTCTGAAATGCATTAATACTGACAAATAGCTGTGATCAGCAAGTAATGCAAGGGCTTAATCAATTGGAAATCTCATTGCTCCTGTCAGTCTTATCTCAAGAGAAGAAGAATGTGACTTGCTAATCAGTATTGCCCTTCACTACTTAGGATAGTGAAGAATGAGTTTAGTCTTGCATGAAACATTTGACAAAAATGTGGCTTAGTTAACATGTTTCTAGCTCAAGTACCCAAAGCTCACTATTTTTTTTTTTTTTTTTTTAATTTTTTTATTGGTAGAGTAGTAGGATTTTGACAGATGTCACTCTTGGACTTTCTTTTTTCCATGCTGCTCAATGACTTTTCTAAAACATCTCTTATGCCTTAAATTAGGGTTTCAAATTCCTACATCTTGCCTTGTTTCATGGAACAACAGGAGCAGCTTGACCATTCCTCATCTTCTCTTAGAGGATGATATGGAATTTTTAGAATGTTAATTTCTGTTTGCAGGACATTTGTAACGTTCTGTGGTATTTCTCCGTGGCAATCTAAAATACTGATAGTAACTTCTCAAGCAGGTTAAATTGTGGGTGAGATTCCCTCATATACAGAATGAGACTTTGAAGAACTTCTGTATAGATTAATGAGTTAATGTTTTGTCATGGTCTTCAACATGTTAGCAAGGAATATCGTAGAAAACTGACTAATAAAATGTTTTTCTAGTTCATTAAAGTAGTTCCTTCGGTGTTAGCATAAGAAATTCCAGAATATAGTTTAGCTGCTTCTTTAATAGCAAGAGAGTAACTATGGTGTGTGTATGGGCTTGATTTGCTGTTGTGGATTCTTGAGCTCTGAAATAACCCTTTCTGATGCTGAAAACTTGTAGGACAGCAACACAATTCTTTTCCCCTATTTTGATAATATTCCTTCACTGTTTTTTCAAGCGTTGTAAGATTTCATGGTGATGGCTAAAAAGCTGTGGTATTGCTTACTGCATAACTGCTCTTTTTATGAGGTTTGCTTGGTTTCCAAGATTTCTGGGAGTTAAGATGCCCTGGGGTTTTGGTTTTGGGCTTTGGGTTGGTTTGTTTTTTGTTTGGAGTTGTTTGGGGTCTCTTTAAGTAATTGTAGACTATGATTCATAGCTGCTTTCCAAAATCTGCAGCACTGGTAGTGATGCAGCAATATCAATGACTGTTAGCTATTGAAACAGTAACTCAAAAAAAATGAACTAGCCTTTCAATGCCTTTTTAATTGTCAAAGTTGTTAACTAAATTTGTGTACAAAGTTGCTGTAATAATTCTTGATATTTGATCTTTTATGACTATTTTCATGAGACCATTTATAAAAGGATATTACTGAAGTTACAAAACAAGCACAAAATCTTTTTGAACTCTGATAAACCAGGGGGCAGCTTAGTGGCCTTCTTTCTTGGAGTACATTGTTTAGTGATCTTCAGAAGCAGAGACAGTTGCAGTGTCACATCAGCTTTGGTGGCCCTCAAACTCTGTTCACATTAATAAAACAGTAAATAATTAGCCAGTAGACTATGAATAATCAGGCTTTTGCAGAGTATCTTCCTCCACTTCAGCAGAACTCAAAAAGTCTGTCAATGGCAACCCAAATTTTTGTCTCAAAAAAAAAAATTGCAAGTTGGCTGTAGTAAAACACAACTTGGGTTATAACTGATAGAAGCTTTTCTGTTACATATGTTATGAAGTTGTCTTCTCACATGGCTTGTTCATGCTGTTCAAGTTGAAAATTGTGGTGAGCTGTGGTACTGAGTCTTAAGATTCAGTAAATCCCACAGTCAAACTTTGTTGTTCTTTTTCTCTCAAGGAAAGTAGGAAATTTTAGCCTCTTTTTTTGTTGCATTCCATTTTACGTATGGAACTGTACTCTATATCTTTATTAAACATGTAAGATATAATGAGCTTTTAGGTAAGTGTTCAATTAAATACATAAAAACCTGGTACAGCTGGGTTAATAACTGAGCTGTAAGTTGCTTTCATGTCTATTTAATGGAGGAAAAACTGTAGATGTGTAATTACATTTCTTCATTTCCTCCCCCCCCGCTTTGTACCTTCTGTTGTCTTCTACAAAGCATTTAATGCATTTTGACCTTGAAGCTTTGGTTATGACCTTGAATCTAGGCATATAGTTGTATGCCTAGATTTACTCCAGATACAGTTTGCAAGATAGAGGTTGGCCCAGAAGAAAGTGTGTCTCATGTTAAGAGACTGTGATACATTGAAGCTTTGTTTTTTCAGGTGCTTGTTGGATTGAATGTCCTGGGTTTGGTCCGGGGAATAAAAGTCTGTCTGAATTTTTTGTATTACAGTTAATTCCAGAAAATACCAGTTAGCAAATATTTTTTTTGTGATGATGATGTCTCCCATCTTCTAGCCTCAATCATTGTTTTCCTTCTAGCCCACAGTTTTATAAGAAAATGGCAACCTTGCAGGGAAAAAGTTTATATCAATGAGTCACTCTTCCTGGTGGCTTGTTTTTTGTTGGGTTTGTATTTTTTCCCTAGAAATTCTCCTGGAGATTATAATGGGCTAGCAATAAGAGAAATTCGTGTCATATAACATACAAGGATCTCCTAGGTGAATTTTGCAGATAATTAGGAAAAAGATTAAAGTAACATTTTTTTACAGTCTTTGTATTTTCATGTCAATCTATTTAGTGTGAGTATAGCATAATGCTTCAAAAGCCTCCCATTTTTCATTTTTTTGTAGCAACTTTACAGAAAGAAACCAGGGTTGGCTGTTACATGTGCAAAGGTACCTCAGAATATGGACAAGAATAGATACAAAGATGTTCTACCTTGTGAGTATCAAGTACAGTTTCTGCCTATTTTTCTTTATGCTGTGAATGATAGCTTATAGAGTTGTTGTATTGAACTTCTTGAGTAAAAATTTTGTTATATAATCAAAATCATATAATTGCTCATTTTATTTTCTGAAAGGTGGTCCATTATGATTTGTATTCTGCTGTCTTTGTGTTTGCAGTACCTCAGTTTTTTGGGTTTAATAGAAGGGAAGCATGCCCCTTAGTTGCTAATTTTATTCCTTTTTTGTGTGTGTGTGCAGATGATGCCACAAGGATAATATTGCAAGGAGATGAAGATTACATTAATGCTAATTACGTGAATGTAAGTCACACAGAGATCTGCATTTGCTCACTTACTGTATTGCAATAGCAGACTAAATTGCGCCTTTTTAAGGAATAATGGTTTTTCATTTTAGATTTTGGGGATTTATAAATGTAAAAGATGTAAAAATTCATAAAGTAAAAGATCAAGTGTCTCATGTGAAACAAGTGGCCATCCTCATGTACAGTAGATGCAAGTATGTGGTATATACTGTGATATGTGTAGACTCTTCAACCAGTAAAAATTGTTACCTTTGCATATACTGCAAATGCTGAGGTTGTCTCCTATAGCTTAAAACTAAGTCTTTTTCTCTCCAGAACCACTAATGACCTACCAACTATGGTATGAAGGATCTGGAAGATAAACCAGAGCCCTGATTGCCCTAATCATGTGTGTAGGCTGGGAGACAAAGAAAAGAAGGGAAAATACATCCATTGCACTTAAGTTAAACACCTAAATCACAATCAACTATTAACTTACTGTGTCTAGTATCAGGCAATAAATAGCTTTTGCTAGTATACCTTTGGTATACCTTGCCATTATTATTCATTAAATATAAAAGATAATTTGTAAAGCTTTGCAGTTTCAAGTTTTCAGATACATTTTTGTTATTAATCATCTCTTCCTAGTTCAGTCTGAAGGACTCCAGAATCTATAGTATGCATCTGGTTTTATTTAAATATTTTTCACATACCAAGTTGTGATCTTGATCATCTTATTAAATTTGCCACCCTAATCTTCCCTCAACTTCCTATTGGAATGAAATGATGAATTAAAATAATACTTGAGTAGTGAAAGCAAACTTGATATAGGATTCTTTTTTCTCTTTATAGATGGAAATTCCTTCTGTGGGCATTGTGAACAGGTACATTGCTACTCAGGGGCCTCTTCCACACACATGTGCACACTTCTGGCAAGTAGTCTGGGATCACAAGTTGTCACTGATCATCATGTTAACGACTCTCACTGAACGAGGACGGGTAAGTGTTCAGGTTCTTTGTATGTTGAAGAAATGTACTGTTCCTTCAAACTTTTTTTTCATTGTTGTGATTAAATAACCCTAAAATAGGCCAGCTTGTTCTGTTGAATAATTTCTCTGAAGGCCAGGCTTTCTGAATTACTTAGAGCAGCAGATACTCTGCAACTTCCCTTTTGTTATGCTTCTTGGAAAACAATCCAGTTGTCTGATAAACAGAAATCACTGCATTGAGTCCATTTTGCTGATCAGCCAGGTACTAATTGCTGTCCCATTTTCCCTCTGGGAACTGGGTTCCATGTGGCAGTTGCTCTCCTAACGATTCAGCAGATGTCTGGAATTGAGTAAGTTGAGCAAAACTGATGATCTGTCTTCAAAGAAGAGTCTGTCATTGCAGTACTTACTAGTTTTAGCATGCTGGTCATCAGAACTTAACCTGCTAACTTTTATATATGTCATAGGCTCTTTCCTAGAATTGCTCTGATTATTTTTATATTTCTGTTTAAATAAAGTCTAGCACTTCATTAATTTCAGAATAATACAGTGAAAATTAAAGCAATATCTGGTGTATTCTGTTGTTACTTTGATTTAGCATATCCTTTGAATTTTAAAAGGTGAAGTTTTTATATTATTAATGTAATGGGATTTGAAGCACAGAAATGCTTCCTTCGTCTTTTACTGTATTGTCGTGAAAATAGCTTCCTGCTTTCTTTTCCTTTGAGGAGAAATGGAGGTTAGTAATAGTCTTTACTTTGCCCAGTGGGTTGGAACCTTCAGGGCAATATTTTGAGAACTTCTAACCACCCTGCTGGTACCTTTATTCACCAGACACTTTTTCTCATCTTCGTTAACATTCATTTGTTCATTTGAAAACTGAACCCCAAGAAAGGCAGAATTAAGAAATTTTAAAATTTCCAGCTCGTGCCACTATTAGTTTAAAAAGAAGTTCTGGGCAAGAAGTGTTATAGATGGTACAGGCAATGTTGATAAATCAGAGAATCCAAATTAACTAAAGCTGGAATAGAAACATGTTGGGAATATCAATTATTTAAGTTTCTTTAGGAGCAATTAACAACTATTATTAAAATATATAAGCAGTGAAGAGGACAGCTATAGCTCAGGTGTTTTGGTCACACAAAGTTTTCAGTACAGTGTCTGGGCAGTTGTGTCAAGTTGGGTTTTTATGAATCCTTTGGATTCTTTGTAGTTCAGTTAGAATTTTTCCTTTAGTATGTCTTTCTCTTAAGTCCAGTGGACTCATTCTTGGACGCTGCTTGGTTACAGGGTAGGAATTTTATACAAGAACGGTAATGCAGAAGTGGAAGATGAAAATGGGGTGAAATGTTTAAACGCTTATATTTATGGGCAAATTTGAGTTACCTTCAGTGGGTAAAGCTTTCACTTCAAGTATCTCACTTGAATACTTCATCAAGTTCAGCCTATTTCACAATTTTTCAGCCTTTAAGTGGGAAATAAGGTGGCAAAATTTCTGTCATCCATGCTGCTCTCTTTACCTTTTAAAATGAGGATTAGATATTTTCATTAGGATTGTTTCTACAAAGGTTACATGTTAGGTGTGCCTATCTTAACTGCTTTTAGAAGGTGAACCAGAAAAAGGAAGACTTCATAATTTCAGCAGCAGAGTGGTAGATATCTCAAGATCAGCCTCTTACTATTAACAGCAGAAGACAGAAAGGAAAATGGTTCTTTATGGTTGTACACAGAATTGATTAATCTGTTTTATTCTAGAAAAGGTAGCTATTTCATGGCTGAAATTTTAATATTGAATTCTAGTTCAGCTCTCACTTGTATTGTAGTGTGCATGAAGTTTGATGTACTCTAAATCTGGTACATTTGCATACACATATGACTTTGCTTGTCATACATTGTCAGGCTTGAAGGTTAAGCCTCATGGCCTTGCATGAAACCTGTCTGAGGAAGGGGACACATTACACTCTCCTACATTAATAGGTATGTTTCTGGGCTTTTGTTTAGAACTTCAGCATTTAGGTGCAATTAATCATTTAAGAGATCTGTCTTCAGTCTTGTATCTGACATAGAAGAGAAATATGTATCTCTTTGGCAAGTGGCACACTGATGAGCTGGAGTTATTTATCTGTTCTTCCTTAGCAAAATTTTCCCTAGAAAATCTGAAGGACAACTTTCATTATATGACTAAGTTACTGTGCTTTATTGCACCTGCAATAACTTTCTATAAACTTTTTATATATTAGTACTAATGCTTATAAGCAATATTCTGTGTTTAAAAATGTTTACCTTAAAACAGAAAATACAATTGAATGGGAAAAAAAAGACATTTTTCCCGTTCAGTTTTTGACAAGAATTGAATGAAGTAACACATAGCTTTTAGTGGCCTGAAAAATTAATACCTTAGGGAAGCAATCTTTAGAAGCTTGCTAGGGTGACTTTATCTTCACCACCTGCTTTCAGGGAGAGGACAAGGGCAACAGTTCTTATGGTAGCAACCAGACAAGTACCAGGCACGCTGGACTTCTGGAGGGGTTGTGTTAAGGGGTGACAGTGCTATTGGGCATTCCTTTTTCTTTGTGCAGAATGAGTTATCACTTAGTGACTCCAGAAGTGAAACCTCCCTTGCTCGTTCCCTTACCCATGATACTGTAGTTCTGGAATAGGAGGGACAGTCTGGTTCTTGCTACTTCTTACATTCTAGCATGATCTTGCTTCACAATCTAAGAAAATTGAGGTTTCAGGTGACCTGTGAGATTTCTGGTCCACTCCTCTCTGCTTTGAACTTCATGCAGGTTGGGCAGTGCCATATCATATCATCGTTTTGGTTATTTCTAGAGATGGTGATTCCACAGCCTCATTAGGGTATCTTGCTTCTGTGTTTGACAATCCTCACAGAATTTTTTTGCCAATATCTAATCAGTATTTCTCTTTTTGCATCTTTTCAGTCTCCTCTTGTCATTTCATTGTTCGCTTTCCAAAAAAAGTGTGGCTCTCTTTCCTATAACCTGCTATAAGGTGGCTGAAATGAGTTATAAATTCACCCCCTATACACTTTTTTTCTCTAAGGCAGAATAAATCCATCTGTCTCTTCTCCTATATTATGAGTTGAGAAGTCATTTTAGCAATTACAGGTAAGTACCAGGCAGAAAGCAACTTGCATCCAGTTTATTTGAATTTTTATTCTAAATTACTAAAACAAAAGTTTATAGACAAGTTAACCTATTTTGTTCTGTTATTTTTCATTTTGGATATAAACACCTCACCAACAAGTCAGAATAGATTTTTGTACTGCTCCTTGAATTCCCTGAGCCGTAGCATAGGAGGAGATGCTGGAAATAGAAGTGCTTCTATACAGTCTTCATGTGTGCTTAACTTTCTTTACAGACCAAATGTCATCAGTATTGGCCTGATCCACCAGATGTAATGGAATATGGCAGCTTTCGTGTCAGATGCCACTCTGAAGATTGTACAATTGCTTATGTTGTTAGAGAAATGGTGATTACAAATGTTGAGGTAAATGCCCATTATCTTATCCCCAAGCAAACTGAATGAATACATCTATAGATAGGAAGATATAAACTCTGTATCTGAGCATGTACATCTCTGAATATACGTGTGTGTATGTCTATACACACATCTTTATAAGAAGAATATGTATATATTATATGAATTGAGATAGTATTATTTCTCTACAGCTTCTTCAAAAACATACTTTTAGAAGTTCTATATTACATTTTGCTGTACAAGTACTGTAATAAGCTTGATAAAGAACTTAGTGCTTTTCTGTAAATAGTTTTGCAGTCACTGACTCTTCACAAGTATTTGAAATTTCAACAAGAATTTTTTCTAAGTAACTGCCCTTTCAAGGTTAAAATATGGGTCACTTGGTTAATGGCAGATGCAGGTAGAATATTACGTTTCACTACTTTGTCAGCTAATGTTTTGAAAGGAGATGCAGAATCTCATCAGTTCCTTTTCATTGTCTTCAGTCAGATTTTATTTTTCCAAAAAAATCCTTATAAATCTCAATTGAGACATGCTCAATTTACGTAAGGTACTGGTACTCTGTAGCTGTTAATACTTTATGCTAATGGAAGACTTATAAAGCAAAGGGAGAGTTAAAGACATGGAGTACTTGCATATCAGCGTGTGTTATGAAATCTGCATTCAGATCACGTCTAAACTTCCCGCAACCCGAATATAGGGGATGAAGTTTGGCTTTTGTTTGCAAGTTGTCCTATATTTCTTAAACATTTCCCTCTTCAGATCTTTTAAAAAATTCTATGGTCATAAGTATTTTCTAAAAAGATGAAGGGTTTGTGTTATCATAAGATACTTGTGTAAGAATTCACTGTGTACTGACCAAATACTTATTTACAGTTCTAATACTAGTCAATCTTTTAAACTTATGTATAGTTGATTTTACTGTTATTAGAATTGCTAGTAGTAAGAAAGAGGAAATGCTGTTTTACAAAGTAATATTTAATTGATGTTCTTCCTGAAAGATGACCAGTCCTTTAGTCTCATAAATTAGTAACTTAAATTTATCACTTGACAGTGCATCCATATTTGTTTCAATGAGATAAAGATTTTCTTTGTAGTCATTAACATGTGAGATGCCACTACTTCAAGGTCTTTCAGTAAAGGTGGTTTACAGTGTTTCAGTTTCTAGTTAGGAGAAATCATCCAGTCAAGGAGCAGCACGCTTTTTGGTTCTGTTTTTCAGCCAGTTAATCCAAGTGATAAACTTGAATGTCAGCCCTGAAGAAATTAACCTCATTAAAGCAGTACCACAGAGTATATGTAGACAAACTTTTAGACTTTGTCACTCAAATTGGTTGATTGCCAAATAACTTTGGTTATCTAATGCTTTGTATTAGTAGTCTTTTCAAATATTTTTTTTTCTTGGTTTGTATTTGTTAAACCTGTAATTTTCAGTAAATTCACTGGTGACTGTATTCAGTATGTCTTTTAATTCAAGTGTCTATTTACTAGCATGTGCTAAGTCAAAATGATAATGAGATCAGGGCAATTGATTCTATATATGTTTTTTAATACAAGTTAATTTTTTTTTTTTTTACATGGAGTTTGTGTGAGACTATAGGATGCCTTTATGGACATCTTAGCAGATGTCACAGTTACAAGGACCTTCCACTGTGTAAGTTCTCATGATAGCTCTCAGCTGAGAACATAACTTGTCATGTTAAAGGCATAGGTTTCATGTAGCTTAGGCAAAAGCACGCTGAAGCTAGTCCTAGGTGGATATGTGTTTGTTGTGGTGAGGGTAAGGTTGTTTTCAGAGGTTCTTTTAATTAGATTTTTTTGTTCATTAAAGACAAGTTTATTTGTCCATGTAAAGTGGCTACACTCAAAAGAAGACTCAACACTCAGCTGTCCATACAGTAAAAACGTGCCCCTAATAATTGATAGCTCGGAGTGCAATTGGCATTTCAGATGGAAATAAAAAACCTTTCCGGCTTGTTAAACCATAGTGAAAGAACTCTCTGAAACACTAAAATATCTCCCAGTTTGGCGTGTCATCTGAGCTGCTTTTTTAATGCTGTCCAAATGTATTATTGCGGAGACATCCCGTGTTTGAGCAGACTTTGCAAAGCTTTATATGTACTTACCTCTCACAGATACTGTTTTTGTATTCTTTGAAGAATACATAAAAAGTCATCTGAATTCAAGCCAGGGTTTTATTATTCCCTGAACTAATGTAAGCATCATTGGACTGGTCTTTTTGAAGACAAGTAGCTTTTAGTAGTATAGATGGATAAAACTTCCAAACTCACAGGAGACTTGGTTCTGTTGGAAAGGCATATTTGTGAAAGAGTTCTCTGTGAACTAAGTTGCACAGATTTCAAATCTGCCTTTAGGGGAAAATAGCTCAAAAGAGAAGTTTATGAAATGGTGCCCTTGGCCTTTTGTTCAAATACGATCAGAAGACTTAAGGAACAAGAAAATTTTTAGGATTTTTCTGACATAGTTTAATTCAGTGCTTCTTTAGTATAACTGAAGATCAGCAAATGACTGCAAATAGGTCAAATATTTGTAACCTTTCTACACCTCATAAAATGAAATAAGGATTACTTTCATGGCTTTTCAAGACCAAGATCGAAAACTATCCTGTAGCAAAATGGAAAAAAAAGCAAATAAAGCACTGTTTGGGTGTTTTGAGGTTGTTTTTAAAAATTATTTTTACTTTTAGGGAAAGCTTCAGAATGGTTTGAGGACCAGAACAAACAGACCAAATGAAAGAAATTGCATAGTATGAGTGCAAAATTCATCGCACAGTGCACTATTTTGTAAAACAAGATAAATATTTCTTTTTAATCATGGAAAAAATAGCAAGGGAAGCCTGAAGCAAAATTTCATTCAGCTTCCTTTAAGATAAATACCTTGCAACATATTGCCTGTTTAATCTCACCAATTTCATCCAGTTGTGTTTAATTTTTTTTCTAAACATAACTTTTTTTGTTGCTCTCCCTTTTTTAAACAAGCATTTTTCTTTATTTCAGTTAAGTGTGACTAGAACTCAGGCATGGATCTTAGGCCATGGAAACAATGCTTGCTGAAGCATGTTACTCATATACCTTTGAAGAACTGTAATTTTGCAAGTTACCTTTTTTAATTCTGCCACATCATATATGTTAGTTGTTGCCATACCTTGTTAGTTGTTTCTAAAGCACTCTGTGATTCTCCTACCTGATCAGCTTTATTAACTAAATCACTTAAACAAAAAGAAAAGTATGTAAAAAAAATTGATTTAAATTCATCTACTAAAGATAAGTTATACTATTGCTATCATGAATGAGGAGTGAGGCACTGAGAGAGCACTTACATCTTATAAACAACCCAGGTCAAGGCAATTAAGACAATTCCTCGTGTCATAATGTGGACTGTTTAGCATGATTGTGCAGACAGTGACAACAAGAATAGAAGGATCTGGGGAGACAAGCTTCTTTTTCATTTAAAAGCTATCACTTTCCATGGATGTCACGATGACAGAATGGAAGAAAATAAATGGATGAAGCAATTCAAACAAATAAAAGATTAAGCATAAATTCATTTTGCTAAGGAAGGATATTGCTGTTTACTGAAGGGAGGAGGTAAAAATGCAAGATGAAGAATGACTGGTATCTTTTTCTATGAGTGACCAGCATGTAGGCCTTCTAATGACTGCTAAATTGATATCAGATGATACAAAGACAGCAAACCAAATGAGGACACTGCCAGTACTTTCTGCTATAAACAGCTGAAAACAGAATCTCTAATTTTTACACATATTAATTATTTGGGCTGAGGCTTTCCACACCATTTGTCTTCCTTGCCAGGTATGTGTCATACAACACTTTGTGGAGGAAATTGAGTTTACTCATGTTAAGGATTCTTAGATTGGTTCACTGAAACTTTTGCTTCTGCACGTTAAACAAGACCTTGTATTTTCTTTTTCCAAAGAAATCTAGATTAATTTGACCCTGACACAAATGTCGTGAACAAACTTGTCACACTGTGGAGGTATTTTAAAGCTTTCTCTGAAGTGTCTGTACTGAATGTGTTCTGTTCTGTCAAATACTCATGGTAGAAGAAAATGAGTTGAAGAAAACTTGAGCAGTAAAGAGCTGAAGAGCAAAAGTAGAATAGAAGTGTTGTGGCAAGGAGGTACAGAAGTATATTGAGGTGTGAACAGTGGTCCAAATGGCACTGTCAAAGTATCTAGTCTTCAGAAACTAGGCTTTAACCCTGATCACTGAGTCTCGGCTTTCAAGGTATGTTTGTGAAGCTCACTAGCAAAGAACATACCTTCTCCTGCTTAGAAGAAATAGGACCATTTCAAGGTTAATGTAGTTTTACATGGTAAATTTTTTTTTTTAATGGAAGACTATAATATAAACCTACACAAAGAAGACATTAAATGAAAAGATGAAGGGCAAAAATCAGTTGCTTAGATTTTAAGAAAAGTAAAAATTAACATTGACCTTTCAAGCCTAAATTTCCTTCTTTCTATGTGAGCATTATCATTCTAAGCAGTTTGGTGTTTTTCTGAAGAACACATGATTCTTTTATTAACTAGGGAAAGTCATTTTAGGAGAATGAAATGAGGAAGCGTGCCTTTGGATGTGATTGTAAGAAGCGAGGCTGCAGATGGCAGGAAGATGAAGAATGGATATTTTTTGAAGATGAATGGTCTTGACAATAAGATCGTTTTGCAGGTTTTACAAGCTACAGCAGCCATTCAAAGCATTATCTCTGACAACCCTGTCGTTTGTAAGGAGTTGCAGTCTCAGTGGCAGACTTATTAGAAAAGATCATGTGTCCGTACTGTGTTTTGTAGCAAAATCTGGGATGTTAGTGCAGCCACAGTGAAGTTGCTTTTACAGCAGGTTATCCTGAATTTGCACAGGAGGTAGGTGCAAGTACATCTGGGTTTTTTTTTTTGGCTGACACCTTTGGTGCAGCAACTATAAATGTTATCAGGAGGACAGTAACAAATGCCATGGGACAGATGTGATTTCTTAGACCTCTAGCTGCTTGCCAAGTAAATGTGAGTCAATGCTGAGAAGCAGTTAAATGTTACAACAATAATGGTATAATGTTGTAGAACTATCACAGGACTCCATAATTTGTTTGCATTTTTGTTTTTTTGAGTTGACAATTTTTAAGACTATTCGTGAAATTACCAAATACGTAAATTCAACTGAAATCAGTCCATATGAGTGCAAAAAACATTAAATATTTTTGAAACAAAAAGGTGTGTAATGTCAAGTTGGGTAAAAATAGCAACCGGGCCATGAGCAATGTCAGCTGTCTCACTTTCTCTAAGTTTAGACTTAAAAAACAGGACTAATAAAACCAGATTTTATTAAGATAAATCCTACACTTGTGAGTAATTAGGATGCTACAATAATGGCTGTCATTGAAAACTTCAGGGGAAAAAAAAAATAGTGGAAAGGATTTAAGCTGACTTGCAGAGATTAATGTTTTGGGCAACAACTTGAGTATAATAAGAAGCTACTTCTTATTTTCCATTAGCAGGTTTGTACAGAGAAGCAGGGTCTGGCAGAAATAGTGTCTTTAAAAATAGTTATCGTTAATAGGACATGTATAGTGGGGCTAACTATGGGATCAGTAACTGTGATTTTAGCACTTTAATGTATGAGTGCTAGGTTTTAGTAACCATGATTGCCTTTTAATGCAAGCTGTTTCCATGTGTGATGCTATTTGGCTGACATGTTTTGAATTTAATAGCTGACTTTCCTTATGAGTATAAAGATGTGAAGATTTTTTATTTAAAAAAAAAAAAAGACTAGAAAGGCTTTAAAAAGTCTGGACTTCATGAGAGTATTGGTTTGATATCTTCTGCATGAGGCAAAAATATTAGAATTAGAAAAACTAGTTCAAGCATATATTAATATAACTACTGTTTACAACAGATTTAGGTTACTAATAAAATATTAAATATTTATATGATGATCACATTTTAACAATTTGAGTTGTATCATAGGAACTCAACCAAAACAATCAAAACCTTATTATATCAAAACACAAATAACTAGCAAACTCTACTGAAGTTTGAGGCATACTTGGAGTAATTGATAAACAGCTTTGTTGGTCTCTAGGGATGAATAGGCTATGTAACAGAAAATTAAGGGAATCCCACCAAAAGAAACTGCTCTGAGGACTAAGTGCATACTCTTACAGGGTATTTTGACTCCAAATAAGTCTTAGGTAACATATATGTTGTACTTTATGAACTATTAGAAAAGAAAATGCAACTCTATGTATTTGAACCTGAGTTACTGATAAGTAAAAACTTAAGTTAACTCTTCTGATCTTGCAAAGTGGCTTTTGATGCAACAGATCACTGTCAGTGGTTCTTCCATGTGCCACATGGAAGGTGACTGGATACTCTTGGATAGTTTTAGAATGAATCAAACCTTCGTTTCACCTGAATGCTGTAATTCAAATGTCTCTGACTGAAGAGAATCACCTCAAACTGTTAACGTGTGTGTAATTGCTGTTACCTCATTTTCCTTTTGGAGAGATTCTGTTTAAACACTCACAGATTTGCAAAAGAGGACTTTTTAATGACATTTTCTTGTCATGTATTTGTATTTTTTCAATCTGTGACATTTCAGGAAAATGATACTTGATAAAATGATTACACATTACATCTACATAGTGGCAGCAAGCCAAGTAGCAAAAGGCCATGCTTTTTCTCCAGAAATCCTAATCGTTGTGGGGTCTTTTGGTGATGTGGACAATAGATCCCAATGCAATTTGTATTACAGGGAGCTTGACCATTAATGTTAATTATTGTCCATTTGGGCCTTACACTAGACTTTGTAATTGTGATTGTTCAGGCTCTGCCTTTGTGAAACAAAGTATGAGCTGTGTTGTTTATCTTCGTGTCCCTGTAGACAACTGTAGATTTCTACAATTACTTTGACTGGAATAAACACATTTCCTAGGACTCTACGTGGTACAGAAGCAGTAGTTAATCTATCTTCTCTGTCTTATTAGCCTGCTCCCTGGGAGTAGAACTGCTTCCTCAAGTGGAAGAGGAAAGCAAGTAATCGAATACATTTAAAACAGGTTATCTATTTCAGTAGCTGTGCACTTCAGAGTAAAGGAAAAAAAACTCTTAAATTCACTAGTATCATCAAAACATTCTTGCAAGGACCACTAGGGAGAGGCCAGCTTTTATAAAGTAATACAGTGATAAAGGAGAGTTTTATTTCAGTAGGTTGTTAAATGTCAAGTGTAGTAATGGACATGAATAAAAGGCAGCAAACAGTTTAACTGACACTAAACATGGAAGAAATAAAGGAACATAAAGTCTTGTCTCAGTTTGTAAAGAGTAAGATCCTCATTTCATGATGCAGAATAGCTCAGGAGTGTCTTAGATGCCTTCCTTCCCACTGATTATTGATTACATCTGTAACATAGGAGTTGAGCCCAATTTGAGTGCAAAGATGATGGAGTAATTTAATAATCAATGTTAATGAAAAGCTTAACTGAAATAATTTTTGTAAAACCTTTTTTTAATAACTGAATGAAAAAAAGATTCTTCACAAAGCAGAGTATTTCAACTAATTATATTGCTTCCATACAGAAAAGTAATCTTCTATGGGTCATAAAAAAGTCATTCATATATGTGGAATGAACATGTATGTATGAACAATGTATATATGTTGTTTTCAAACACAAACCAGATTTAGCAACTGTTTCTGGCAACTTTATAATATAACTGAATCTGTAAGTACACACAGACATACATATTTAGAATAGATTGTGTAGCCCCGGGACCCTTTTATTTTAATATTGTGCTCAACAGTTACTCTGCTTTTGGCTGTTTCTTCCAAGCTGTTATAAACTATTATAGCATTTTACGTCAGGTGAATCACTGAAGTCAAGGTATAAAAGGTCAACAGTCAATATATGAAAAAAATTAAAATCTATTTAGATCACGGAAGTTAAACTTGATAGCTTATGTAGAAAATAGTATGCTTTTTGCATGCTTTCAAAGAATTACATGTTTATATTTTAGTCTCTATTTTAAAATTGCAAACATTTTCTACATCATATATATCTTATAACATCTGCAGAGTGTGCTAAATACAAGTATGACTTGTATTTAGTAAACATCAATGCAAGAGTCATAACACTGAATGCTTTCTGAAAACTTTACTATTTTTTAGACAGAACAACAACACACAGTCACCCATCTCCAGTATGTTGCTTGGCCTGATCATGGTGTTCCTGATGACTCCATGGACTTCTTGGAGTTTGTGACCTGTATGAGACCAAAGAGAGTAGAGAATGAGCCAGTCCTTGTTCACTGCAGGTACTTGTGTTTTAAAATTCTGAGCATAGATTTGTTTCAGCCCTAGAACAAGCATTTGCTTTGAAAAGTTCACCTGCAAGTCAGGAGACTCCTTGAATGAGAGGAAAATGTTAAATAGTGCAGTAGTGGCCTACACTGTTGAAGACATAAGCGCTGATGAATCTGAAGGACGATCTTCTTTTCTCTCCCTTTCTTCTGCAACCTTTTGGTGATATTGTTTAGTCATGTAATTAGCACAGAGCTAATAATCTGCAATGTAAGTTGTTCTCCATTGTTATCTTCTGCCACTGTTGCAACCTCATTTGAATTGTACTGCAAAGGGGTTTTTTTTCTGCTGTTAAGTGAGTGTCAAAAAGCAGTCAGTTAGGTCTTATCTTTTTTTAGTCGAAAATACCAAACTAGTATGTTTGGATTTATATGCAGTTTTAATTCTTAAAAATCCTTTTAGTTTAAGTGACATTTTAGTTTTATATTATATAAAGGTTATTTTCATTTTTAAAATGGGCAGGAAATATTGCTGAAGTTGCTTTAAAGTGAAGTTTTGCACTCCATTCTCATTCTATTAAGCTCCACTTGTAGTTCCTAAGGTTATTTAGAATCCTAGTATTAAGACTGTGATATGTCTGCTGCATTGCAAAAACCTAATTTATAGACAATATTTCTGTTACGTTTCCCAGTGCTGGAATCGGTCGCACTGGTGTATTGGTCACTATGGAAACGGCCATGTGCTTAATTGAAAGAAACCAACCTGTTTACCCACTGGATATTGTACGGAAGATGCGAGACCAGCGAGCTATGATGGTGCAGACGTCAGTAAGTGATGGAAAGGAAACCTTATTTTCTTTATATATTTCATGCTTCTTACATTTAACATAACGTAGCATGGTGGCAAATGCTCCTTTGCTTATGAAGTGTGTATTTAACTTTTTTGTAAATATTTCTTACCTTGCCATTAAAAGATAATTGATTCCTATACATTGCAAGTAGTCAGAATGCACACTCAGACTTGCATAAATCATCTGTTCGGGGTCCTTTATCTAAATTCTCTGCAAGAGGCTAGAATAATATTTTGCTTTTCATTTTAGTACAGAGACTTATAGGAAGTCATTGAACTGAAGGTGAAATTAAAGGTTTTGTGGTATGATTTGAAATGAGAAGGTTGCTTTTCAGGAGACTACACTTAGGACTAGAAATTTGATAGGAACAATATATATATATATCTTTATACTGTGCCACTACTCCAGTTTGGAAAAACAAAGGGCAAGAATGAAATTTAGGAAAAGTTGGGTAGTATCAGTAACTGAAATATGAAAGCAGAAGGTAGTTTTGAGGTGGAAGTCAGTCAAAGATGATTTGAGATTGAGGGTGATTGTGTCAGCTTTGAAATGAACTTATTTACATTAGAAACCAAAGGTGAAGGATGGGAGGCTCTACTTTCTTGAATAGAGGTTGAATGACAGAATATTAAGTGTGGGTTATCTTGAAGAGCTATGTGCTCTGTGACAAGTGGAAGTAAAGGGGTTTAGACCCACAAAGTCAACAGTTAAAGTGAGCATTTCTGTCCCTTGTCTCTGAAGGAAAATGCCTTAGTTTACACTTAATCAAGAGAAGGAAGAAGGTAACTTGAGAAAACAAATTCTGTTCATTACCAGGTTGATTGCAGGAGCTAGCATTATGAATTGACTAGAGTGAGGAAAAGTCCTACATTATCAGAAGTATCAGGAATTATAGTGGCTTGTGTAACATTAGAGTGCTCTGTCAGCAGAGATTGTTCATGTGTGCTGCTGGGAATCTGTTCGTTGCAATATGAACTGGAAATGCAACGGGACAGTTTGGTTGAGGAGGGAGTTGTCTGCGTAGTCCCCCAGCCTGTTCCTTGCAGAAATGGAAGCTGATCATATGGCAAAGGATGTCATGAGATGAGAAGCACTAGCTTCAAGTTTAAGGAAGCTGAATGTTGACTTCTGGAACTGTACCTGTTGCTAAGTTCTCCTCAGTTGCTAAAATGAACTGAGCAAGTTCAGGTTTAAACTTTCTAGAGGCAGTCAGCTCTTTGAGAATCTGACATGAGAATCTGAAGTAAACTTCAGCTTGCTAGAAGCCTGAGTCCCTTCTATTACAACAGAAATTAGCAGGAATTGTCCTTGCACTCTACAGTTTAATGTAACTGATGAATATGGGCTATAGCAATAAATACATAGACAATCAGACCCTGAGTGTGGAAAACTGAGTACCCAAAATAGGATTCTTTATCTTGCTTGCTGTATTCCATGGTTTGCTATCAGCACCATCAGAAGAGGGACAACCTGTAGCAGCAGCATGATAAAACTAAATTCACTTATTTCTCAGTTATGCAGATATTGTTGTGAAAGCCAATGAGCAGAGCTGGCATATTGTACTGTAGATGAGACAGAGAAGCAATCACCCAACTAAGATAAAGCAGAATACTAAAAAGCTGCATGTTAACATTTTTATCTATCCTGGGTGCTTTGTTGTATTCCCATGCCTGTATTCCAACTAGCCTCGAAGCTCATATTTGACATTTAGCTTAGGGATTGTTCAGTTGTAATAGCCCTGCCTGAAGCATGTTCAGCTGCCCTATGGGAGTTGTGTGTCTGCTCCAATTCTAAGATGATACACATAGCCAGATGCACGTTGTGAGTTAATATCAGACAGAGCATACTCGGTGATTAAGAATGGACTCATCAGAGCTGTTAACTAGGCAGTTTAGTGTCTGCTATTAATCATGTGAAAGCTGTAGTTTCTCAAAGATCTCAAAGCTCAGAAGCTTTGGTTTAATTGTTCCTGATAACCAAAGCTCAAGATTGAGATTAAGAAACAATTAAACAAAAGCTTCACCCAGAAGAATAAAGCTACAACAATATTTGTGTAACTGTATGGACTTTCATTTAAAAAAAAAAAAAAGAGAGAAACTAACCATTACGTTCCATTGAAGAGGAACTGGAGATACTAAACAATACAGAAAGCAGTGCTTTAGTACATACCTAACAACTAGTTATCAGCTGAGTGAGCAGTAAGAGTGCATGAAATGGGTAAGAGCAAAGAAAACAAGTAGTCTGAGTCAGAGGAAGAAATTCTCAAGTGCTTGTTCTGATTTGTTCAATAATTTGATATCTAAATATCACACTTGGCTTGTTCAGGCAGTAGAAATATGCAAATGATGGTAACAATGAAGAAAAAAGTCAAAGTAATTAAGAAATAAAGACAAAAGAACAGAGTGATATTGAAGGTGGGAGTAATTGACTGAAGGATTGAAAGAAAAGGCAGAAAAATCAAGATGCAGAAAATAATTTCCATCCCCCAGTTTTCCTTAAGTTTTTCTGAACTTAAGAGAAAATATATTGCAGGCTAAGGACAAAAATAACATTCCAACTACTGTTTTTTAAATGCAACCTAAAGCCCTTCACAGGCCAAGCATTATCTTATGCTCCTGTCCTTTGGGAGATACTGGTGGACAGTTTCCAGATGTTCCTGAAGAGTTGATGAGAACTGACATAGAAGGGCAGCTGGGCAAACATTTCAAAGATGTAAAAGGGGATTTAGAAAATGTGAAGCTAAGCTTCTCTGAATATATGGCATAGGGCTTTGGAGAAAGGCATTCATCTGGGGGCTTTGACAAGAGTGACAAGTACTTTTGGCAAAAAAAAAAAAAAAAAAGGTGTGCTTTGATTTTTGTAAATCTTTCAAACTTCCTTTTTCCTGTGTTCTTGGGGTTGTATTAGTCATAAAAAATTAATCAGGCTACATGGATTTTTTAGGTCTGTACTAGTCCTATTGCTAATGTCTCCTTGTATCACTTTTCAGAAGGAGCCTCATAGGCTAATTGCTTTTAACAAATAGGTACATCACAAGATTATGGGAGAAATAGGCCTTGTAGTATAATTCAGAAAAAAAAAAAAAAAAACCACTAATGTAATTTGGGAAGACTTTATAAGAACTAAATGAGCTCAAAATGTTGCATAACAGAATTAATGTGGCTGCTTCTCTTCAAAAATATTAATTCCAAAGGTTTTGATCCCATTCTATCACAAAAGGAGACGTGTGGTCTGATCATAAATTGAAATAGTGATTCCATCTTCTGCAGCAGTGTAGGTGATTTTAAAAAAATATATATTAGCAAGACAGTTGGACCTGTATATCCTATGTAGTAACTTTAAATGTGTTTTTGGTCACGTAACTTAAGTGTGCCCAGCAATCTGTAACTGCAGGATTGGAAAGGTTAGAATACTGGTAAAAAAACAGATAAATACCAGAAAAAAAAACCAGATGAGATGTATCAAGAATATAAATTACTAGTTAAACTTACTGAGAAGGATCATAGAAATTTGCATAGCTTTTACAAATAAATCATACTTCTGAAATTTAAGTGTGTGTTCTTTTAAATGTGGGGACTGTTTTCCTAGGTGTGAGTGTTTTAATGCTGGTCCTTTAAAGAAGAGTGAATGTCACCTTTGTTTACTGTGAACACAGTCAGAGGAGTTGAATTTTCTCTGTTCTCTTTTGTATCTCCTCTCCTGTCGTTGTCCAGAAGAGGAAGCAGTGGGACTGTTAGTCCTATCCAGCACTACTGTATAGTCAGGAGTTTAATAATAATCCAAAAATGTTTTTGATTTTTCTCCCTTATACAGAGTCAATACAAATTTGTTTGTGAAGCTATTCTTCGTGTTTACAAAGAAGGATTGGTTCGACCACTGGATTCCAGTTAGCACAGCAACGAAGGATGAATTCTTTCTTCTCCTAAAAAGACTGCTCTTTAAGTAAAGCAAGGGCTTGTTTCTGAAAGCAACCAGAATGGACTAGAAGCCCATGAAAAGACAGATGAGCACATTTGAACTGTGGCACTTTAAATTTCTCAAGAAGATTGCTAAATCATGTACAGTATAATGAAGTCGTGTAGATAAATATATGGGAGCATTTGTGTGTAATATGCTTTGTTCACATAAACAGCCATAAACAATCATGGAAACCTTAATACATATCTTTTACTGCCTTAAAACACCCTTCACTTTGGAATTTACAAATGTCCTTTTGTTGCCTTTGAAATAGCAAGAAGAAAACTCCGTAGTATTTAAATGATTTGGCTTAAGAGGGTATTTAGTATCTTTGTATTGTATGAAAGTTCATTGAAGGTGAATTTTTTTAACTTTCTTATTGGGAGAATATTCATGGAAAAGTAACCTTAACTTATAAAAGGCTGATGAAGAGCTTTAAAGGCAAATGCATAACTACTGTACACTAAAAGCTGGAGAAATTAAGTATTCATTTACCATAAATCTGTTAGTAAGTTTGCCAGCTGTTATGATATGCTTCGTAGAAATGATGTCTGCTGTGTGTGGTGGAAAAAATAATGCTGCATTTATGCAGATGGTACACTCAACACCTTAGGTTGATCAATTTTAATGGCAACTTGCCCTTTTGTCAGTGACCTACTTCTCACAGTTTCAGTTATTGTACTCCTTTTCTTCTGTTTCTGCTGTCCCTCTCATTTATACTTGTCTTTCACTGTTGTTTTTATATGTGGACTGAAAACATTTTAACTTAAACTGTGGTTTAATTCTGTCACCTCTTTTTCCATGTGTATTTATGAGTTCTTAGATGTAAATGTGGATTAATGTTGCACACAAGTACTAGACTTTTGACTTCCTGTATATGCAAAGTAGTCTAATCCAATACTGGAAGAAAAATTACTACTGAACCCATCAAATATGCTGCTGCTAACTCAAGGTGTGAAGCTTACAAGGGCACAGGTGTTGCTAGTGTTCAGGTGGTGATAAAATGTTGACTTGCTGCCCTTCAGCAAAAACTCCTCTTATCCAGTGAAACACAGCTCCCTTTTGCAAGAGTTCTGCAGATTTACCGTGTTCCGTGCTTTATGAAAATGTAGCTAAATCCACACGAAGCTGTACATGAAAAGAGAGAATGGATTTGTACGTTGATGAATAATTCACCCTAAGGTACACTGGTCTCCATTTCATTTCAAATGGGAGAATTGGACTTTCTGAACAATATAACCACATTTGTATGATGTTAATTTATTTTCTGTGTGCTTTTTTGATTACCCTGACATAGTTCTTCATTTTTGAATAGTGTTTAAAAATATATATTCTAAGGGACTGTTTAAAACTGTTATTTAAAAGATTAGTCCTAAATAAGGAAAAAAAAAAGAGTATCAGCTGATGTTTGTGTATAAAAGAGAAAATTAGATAATTTTCTTTCATTTTTATATATATACACATGTATTCAGATATATTTTAGAATTATGGTTTGTATTACGGATATTATCATTTATAGTTGGAGTTTCATTATAGAAACTGTCACAGCTGTACAATATGCATCTCTCATGTTACCAGGAGGTTGTTTTTCCCCAGAAGGTAGCTGAAAAGTGAGTTTATGATGTGCTTAATTGCCGACTCTAGTCTCCTGTAGGCTTACTTCAAGATTACAATTTTAGTTATAGGTAACAAAGATGCCTGGTTAGAATTGATTGACCAGAAGAGTTTTAATTGAAACACACAGGGTTATTGGCAACATGGAAAGCTTCTTGGCTTTAAGTTGGAGGGTGAATAGGTTTGTGCTTATTCTTATATGCTGCATTCCAGATTTCACTTTCCCTCAAGTTTTTGTAATATTTTGGATCATTATTCTCTTGCTTGGTTGGGCCCAGATTGGGAGGCAAGAGACCATAACTTTGCTTAATTTGTTGAACTGCATGAGGTCACTCTATCTGTGACTCCCCATGTAAAATGATACTGGACATGCACATGTTGCTCAGGAAGCTGTTTTGAAAAATCGTTGTTGCAAGTGTGTTGTGCAAGTGCAGGCTGCTTGCTGCTGTTAGAATACTGAGCACTGAGAAAATCCAGTGGCTCTTTCCCATGAAAGGAAGAGTGGGCACTAAATCTGTGCCTGCTGGGTGGTTAACAAAAGCCTCACTTCTGCTATGTGTGTGCCTTTGTTAAAATACATCTTTGCTTATTTTTTTTTTTGTTTAAGTTTTGGTGTGCCCAGGTCTCAAAGTCATCCCTTGCAGTCAGTATGATTTGCTATTAATAGTTTGTCAAGAAGGCAAGGAGGAAAAATGCAAGAAAATACATAGTAAGAAGACATTTAGAGCATCTCATAGTCATATCTGTTTCTTTCATCAAAGTACCTGATTAAACTCTTGGTTCATTTGTGTTCAAGGTTATAGCTGTATTCTTATCACTACTTATGTTTCTTCATGTTGAATATGTATTTACCAAAACACTGTAACTTACTCCTTACATAAGTCCTGTCTCAAAATACACTGTATAGGCTTGACTTCAGTTACTCTGTGTGTGTTTAAATGATGATGGCCATAACGTGGCAACAAATGCTGCTCTTGTTCTGGTAAAACTTAGATGGTTTTGGTAATACCATTCATGAACTCTTGGATTTTAATAACACGCTCGTAGTTGTTGGCCACTGAGAGAGTACTTAAACCTATATAAATAGAAATCTGTGTAATGTTTTTTTTTTTTTTTTTTGTAAAACCATAGAGCAAATATTAACCACTCAAGTATCTTGTACATTGTGTCCATCTTTATTTCAGTCTTGCTGGGTTTTGCACATGTACCTGTAGGGTCCATAGGGGAGAATGAAGGGATTTTTGTCTTATCTCTGTAATGTGTGATGACTTTGCACTGAATGATGTATGCCTTAGATCCAATCTTCCAATGAAACCGTAATTATTGAAACTACTTCTTAATGCTGACTTCTGTTTCCAAAAGAATTAGGAAATCAAAAAGACACAGTTGATTTTTTTTTTTTCTTGGTAGGAGTTAAAACTCCTAACAGCTTTTACTGTCAAGCAATGGACAAATAGCAGAAAATGCTGTGAAATCAAAATTCTGTATAACTATAACCTTTGTAAACAGTTAAACCTTGATTTTGCTCATGCTTGTATGATCATGACAATAAGTATTCAATATTTCTAGAATGGCGGTAGTTGAAGAGGGAGTAATAAGCCTTTGAGGTTTTCACCACTGTGAAATACACTAACATTTATTCTTCAGAATTAATCTAATTTAAACTAATTGTCTTTATATTTGATATGGAAGTAACTAAAATGCCTCTTCAGAGTGTCTTCAGAAATATCACAGGGGAACACTTCCAAGACAGCGGTGGAAGCAACAGATCCTACCGTGTATTGAAAATAAGGGAAATGGTGCCATGAACCATGAATGCCTGTTGTGTAACAGGATGTATGAAATGTGAATCATTAAAATACAACGAAATCTTGAATAGTGGTGGTGTTTTAAAACAAACAAACAAAAAGATTAAAAACTCTGTTTAGTAATCCAGGGGTTTGCTTTCAATAATCCTGTCTTTTAGGTGTTAGTAATATGCAGTCAAAATGTACCTAAGAATTCAGCAATAGCTTTTCATATACACTCATCTTTTTTAACAATTGATTCTCTTTTTTCACCCTCCTCTTTTCTACTATGCAATACTTGGTTAAATATATCTATATACTTCAAAAGAATTGTAGTTCTGAAATATCTATGCATTTGCTTTATTACAAGCATGATAGGATACTTTTTTACAACAAAAGTTTTCCCTGTAGATAGTGTCAGACTAAATGCTTAAATGGTCCACTGATTCAAAGTGTTGAAAATAGGCACACATGGTTCATAATCAACTAAAATTTAAAGATAGTTATTTCAATGATAATGATTGTATTGTTATATCCTGAAATGTAGCATTTAAGTACAAATTTATTTTACTCACTCGCATAAAGCCTTTCTAGAAAGAACGTGTGCTGGGAAATGTTTGTATTTCATTTGGTAACCTGCAATTAGTCTACTTGGTTAAAAGCATTTATGATGTGAAACTATAGAGAAGGTAAAGTTGTGTCATGAAATACTTTGTTCAGAGGCAGTTGAAAGCCAAGTGAATGATTGATTCATTATATGAAAGATAATGTTTTGATTAAATGGATTCTCTTGCATTTGAGTTCTGACACTGTGTTAAGCCATCGCAGATGACTGTCTGTTCTAACAATAGTGTTAACAGTTTAAATATATTAAGCTAATGAAATATGGTTCCATTTTAGTGTACTCTAACACATTTAATGTTCCAGTTGTTCAATAGCTATACAAGCTTCAAACAATAGGATCACTGAAATTTGTCATGCTTTAAAAAAAAAGGTGAAGTTTCTCCAAATAGCAAGGAAGGAGCAATGCATGATATTGACAGTTTTAACCGTTTCCCAGGTCAGACTAACCCTGTGGCAGTAGTGCTCAGATTTGACCACTGATGTAAAGAGGAGTTTTTGAGGACCAAGAATATAATGGAAAAAGCAAATGGTGTGGACTGTTGACACTGTTTCTTTAGTTTTGGCTGTAGTTAAGAGACTAGTTACTCTTGTAATACAAAGTCATTCTGAGAGGTGGCTTTGGGAATGGGCAGTAGAATGTGCCCTTGACTCCCCTAACTTTGTTGCAAACCACTTGGATAAGAGTCTTGGAGAAGTCTTAGACTATGTTATTTTGAGATTAGCCACAGATTTTGCATCTTTAACGAATTTCTTACGGAAAACAGTAAAGCAATTATTTTAATAGATCTTGACGACTATTAATTGCTCAACTTTTCTTTCTTGACTTTTGTAATGTAATTTCTTGAGTTATTGTTTTACCTTTAAAAAATACTTTGAGGTTTCCCACAACTGTAAAACTGGCAGTCATAAACAGGCCAAGTGATGTAGCTGTTGTTTAAAATATGGTGTTACTTAAAGCTGCTGAAGGTGCAGGGTGGTGTTCAGACCAGCCTGAACTGAGCTCCTTTCTGAGGAATTTAAACAGTGCTTCTGACAGTGGTAAAAATCATAAAAATATTTTGAAAAAGCATGTAGGAGTTGATTTGTTGAGGGCAGATAAGACCTGGGTTGTATTTAAAAAGGAAAAAAAAAAAGAGGATGAAAATATTTTTAACAGAATAAAATAGGTTAGGAAATGCAAAATTTTTTTCCTTTACAGAACACTTTTCTTTGTTTTAAGTGCATCATTTCTCTTGGAGAAATTTCTTTATTAAAGAACCCTACTGTTGATGTGATTTAATTTCTGTCAAACTGACCAAGAAAATAATTCTAAGTTGAACTTTTTTCTCATTTACTACTTTGTGCTTTTAAATAACATTAAAAAAAAACTAAAATATTTTCAGTCTAAAAATCACTTTGACAGTTCTTGTTTGGTGTCTTTCTGAAATGTAAATGGAACCTGAATGTTGCTTCATTTGGTTCAATTAAGCAGCAGGTTATTATAGTAGAAGTTATTCTTGATCAGTGCCCTT